GGGATGGAGAAGGTCGTGGTGCTGGGCATGGGATGGGCAAGGCCATGGGGATGGACAAGGTCATGAAGATGGGACAAGGCCATAGTATTGGGCATGGCCATGGGATGGAGAAGGTCATGGTGCTGGGCATGGCCATGGGATGGACAAGGCCATAGTATTGGGAATGGCCATGGGATGGACAATGCTATGGTGCTGGGCATGACCATGGGGGACAAAGTCATGGTGATGGGCCTGGCCATGGGATGGACAAGGTCACGGTGCTGGGCATGACCATGGGGGACAAAGTCATGGTGATGGGCCTGGCCATGGGATGGACAAGGTCACGGTGATGGGCCTGGCCACGGGATGGAGAAGGTCATGGTGCTGGGCATGACCATGGGGGCAAGGCTATGGTGCTGGGCATGGCCATGGTATGGAGAAGGTCATGGTGCTGGGCATGGCCATGGGTTGTTCAAGGCGATGGGGTCAGGCAGAGCCAGAAGGCTTCCCCCTCTCCTCCCTCCGGCTCCAGGTGGTCAGTTCAAGCGTGAGGTGACAGTCGATGGCCAGAGCCACCTCCTGCTCATCCGGGAGGAAGGAGGCGCCCCGGACGCCAAGGTACCTGGGGACTGGGGGCCAGGGGCCGTGCTGTGCCGGCCGGTGCTGAGCCCTGACCCCCGTCCGCGTCCCCCCACCAGTTTGCCAGCTGGGTGGACGCCGTCATCTTCGTCTTCAGCCTGGAGAACGAGAGCAGTTTCGAGGAGGTGACGCAGCTGCACGCGCTGCTCAGCGGCTACCGGGGCACCAGTGAGGTGGCCCTGGCGCTGGTGGGCACCCAGGGTGAGCTGGGGGTGTGGGACCAGCCCCATAGGGATGGGGTCGGGATGATCCCCGCCTCACTCCCCTGCTTCCCCCCCAGACAAGATCAGCTCCTCCAACCCCCGGGTGATCGAGGACGCCCGGGCTCAGGCGCTCTGCGGGGACATGAAGCGGTGCCTCTACTACGAGACCTGTGCCACGTACGGCCTCAACGTTGACCGGGTCTTCAATGAGGGTGGGTGTCCTGGGGTGCTCGGCTGTGCCAGCAGGTCCGGCGTAGCCGGAGTGGAGGGGGGGGATTGCATGCTGGTGGTGGGATGGGGGCCATGGTCAGTGGCAGGATGGGGACCAGTGACCGGGTAGGACAGGGACCGTGGGATGGCGATCGTGTTGGGTAGGTTGGGAATTGCGGCCAGAGTGGCACAGGACCCATGGCTGGGTGGGATGATGGGGACCATTGGCGGGGTTGGATGGGGACCGTGGCCGGGCGGGTGGGCGGGGGGGGGGGTCTCGGCAGCATGACCCGCCTGACGCGAGGCTCTCGGCGCAGTCGCCCAGAAGGTGGTGGCACTGAAGAAGCAGCAGCAGCTCATGGCGTCCTGCAAATCTCTGCCCAGCACCCCCAGCCACTCGGCTGCATCCACCCCCGTCGGGGGCATCCACCCCGGCCAGGTACCCCCCGGCTCGCCCTGCCTCAGCCGGGTGCTGCCCCCCCAAACCTCAACCTGTCCCTCTGGCCACGGGATGCCGGGGCTGACCCCACGTCCCATCTAGGCCAGCAACGGTGGCCACACCAGCGACTACTCATCCTCGCTGCCATCCACCCCCAACGTCAGCCACCGGGAGCTGCGGAGCGAGACCCCGGCCCCCCTGGGCACCCCCAGCTCCCTGCACCGCGGGGCCAAGCGCCGCACCAGCCTCTTTGCCGTGAGTGTGCCGGGACCCCCGTGGTGGCAGCCGTGTGGTACCCACGGTGTCCCCCTGGCAGGGTGGTGGCAGTGGGGAGGGCTCGTGGCATCCAGGGTGTCACCTAGCAGGGTGGTGGCAGCATGGGGCATGCGGCGTTCGGGTTGTCTACCCAGCAGCAGGGGGTAGACAGTACCTGGGGTGTCCCTCTGGCATGGTGGTGGTGGTGGCACAGGGGGACACGTGGCATCTAGGGTGCCCCCCCCTGGCAGGGTGGTGATGGGGGACACACATGGCACCCAGGGTGTCCCCACCGTGTGGTTCTGGCAGTGGGGGAACATGGGCACCCCAGGGTGTCCCCACAGCGGAGCCACAGTGGTGGGGGACGTGGCACCCCCAGTGCCCCCACCACGCGTCCCACCGACCCCGTCCCCCGCAGACGCGCCGGGGCAGCGACTCAGAGAAGCGGAGCCTGGACAGCCGGGGCGAGGTGGCGGGCAGCGGCCGTGCCATCCCCATCAAGCAGGTCGGCGGGGCGGTGGTGGCGGTGGTGGGACACGACAAGGTCCCCAGCCGTCCCCTCCCTGTCCCCCTCACCCTCCCTTCGTCCCCAGAGCTTCCTGCTGAAGCGCAGCGGCAACTCCCTCAACAAGGAGTGGAAGAAGAAGTACGTGACTTTGTCCAGCAACGGGCTCCTCTTCTACCACCCCAGCATCAACGTGAGTGTCCCCGTCCCCACCCCTGTCCCCACAGTGGGGGGGAGCCACGATCTCAGCCCCCACCTGTCCCCGTGGCAGGACTACATCCACAGCACCCATGGGAAGGAGATGGACCTTCTCCGTACCACCGTCAAGGTCCCCGGCAAGCGCCCGCCCCGCGCCATCTCTGCCTGCGGTCCCTCCGCCAGCATCAACGGGCTGGTGAAGGACGTGGGCGGTGGGACAGCACCCGAGGGCAGTGGTGAGTACCGGGGTGGTGATGGTGGCGGTGGGGTGGGGGTGTGGGGGGGGACCCCCTGTGTCACACCGGTCCTTCTCCACCCGCAGCCGGTGCCTCCCCGGTGGGGCTCAGCCTCCCACCGGAGCCGGGGATGAAGGGCACGGGCAAGGCTGAGCGGTCGCTGCAGCGCTGCGCCTCCGCCTCCAGCGCCAAACTGTCTGGCTCTGGTGAGTGTCCCCGTCCCCGTCCCCTCTCGTGTTCGTGGACCCAGCTACCTCGCCGAGATGGAGCCAGGGACCTTGCCCAGGGAGGCCCTTAGGGACCCTGGTGGCACCTGGTGAGCCTGGGGACCCGGTGGCCCTTGGTGGCCCTGGTGATCCTGGAGGCCACAATGAACCTGGTGGCCCTGGTGAGCCCAGTGGCCCCAGTGACCCTGGTGGATTTGGTGACCCTGGTTCCGGTGGCCCTGGTGACCCTGGTGATCCTGGTGAGACCAGTGGACTTGGTGACCCTGGTGGTCCTAATGACCCCAGTGGCCCTGGTGAATTTGGTGACTCTGGCAGCTCCAATGGCCCTGGTGAGCCCACTGGTCCTTGTGACCCTGGTGGCCCCAGTGATCCTAATGAGCACAGTGGCCCTGGAGAGCTCGGTGGCCCCCAGTACCCCAGTGTGTGGGTCTCTCGGCAGACGGCCCCCCTGCCTTCGAAGCCATATCCAGCCCCAGCAGCTCCGGCAAAGACCCGCCGCCATCGCCCATGATCGACAGGAAGAAGCACCGACGGAAGAAGCTGATGACGCCGTCCAAGACGGAGGGCTCGGCCGGGCAGGCAGAAGGTGAGAGCCACAGGGACGGTGCCCCAAGCCCCGGTCACTCGTGGACAGTGGCCACCGAGCCGTGGGGACAATGCCACTGCACCCCACGGGGATGACATCCCGGTATGCCACAGGGCTCATGCGAACGGAGGATCTGGGCCCGATCCTGCCCCCCCAACGCCTGCCCTTGCCACGCTCAGCCACCGCTGCCCTCCTCACGCCTCCGTGTGTCCCCCCCACACCTTGCTCTGCCACCGCCTGCCACCCCCCTGCACCTCGTCCCCGTCCTGCTGGGGCTTTGCGGGCTCCTCTCGTGACTCTCTCTCCCCCTTTCCTCTCTCTGCTCTCGCTGCCCCCGGACCCTCCGCAGCCAAGCGCAAAATGTGGAAATTAAAAAGCTTTGGTAGTTTAAGAAATATTTATAAAACAGGTAACGTGGTGCGTGGCGCGTGGCCTGCTCCACTCATGCATGTGGCTGTGTCCCATCCTCGCCTCCTGCCATCGCATCCCCTGCCCCATCCTCCCCTCCCTGCCCGGCGGCCGGGCAGAGACGAGGGGGGGGTCCCCGGGGAGCGGGTGGGTGGTGGGCAACACCGGGGTGGGCACCCCTTTGGGTGCAGGGGGGTGGATGGGGAGGGGGGTGCTGGTGCAGCCCGGCACTCCCCGGGTGCGGGATCCCTGTGCGGCACCATCCGTCCCCATCCCACCACCCACCGGGGGGGGTCTCTGGTCCCGCAGAGGAGGAGAACTTTGAGTTCATCATCGTGTCCAGCACGGGCCAGACGTGGCACTTCGAGGCGGGCAGCTTCGAGGAACGTGATGCCTGGGTGCAGGCCATCGAGAGCCAGATCCTGGCCAGCCTGCAGTGCTGTGAGAGCAGCAAGAACAAGGTAGGACCCCCACGGGTGGCCAGGGAGGGGGGGGGGTCCATGATGCCACCACCCCCTGCCCTGCTCACCCCCCACCGCCTTCGTCTTCCCCAGGCTCGCATGGACAGCCAGAGCGAAGCCGTGGCCATCCAGGCCATCCGCAACGCCCGGGGCAACTCGCTCTGCGTGGACTGTGGGGCACCCAGTGAGTCTCCTGGGGGGGGTCGTTGGTCACGCAGGGCCACGGGGGGCCATCGGTTGCATGGTGCCACTGGCCATATGGGGCCACGGGCCGTGGGGGGTGGTGGTCATTGGTCACAGAGTGCCGTGGTTCACGTGGTGTCAGTGGTTACTTGGGTGCCATCGGTGCCACGGGCCACATGGGGTGTCATTGCTCTTGGGGTGCCATAGGCCACGCAGCGCTGTGCGCCACGTGGAGCCGAGGGTGCCACTGGTGACACGGTGCCACGGGCCCTGCAGTGCTGTGGATCAAGGTGTGCCATGAGCCGGATGGTGCTGTGGGGTGGCATGGTGCCACGGGCCACCGGATAACCCGGGCAAGGAAGTGCCATGTGCCACATGACACCACGGGCCACCTAATGCCATGGGCCATGTCATGCCATGGGCTACCCAATGCCCCAGGCTAGGAACCACCACGTGCCACGTGATGGCACAGGCCACACAATGCCACGGGTCACACGTGGTGCCATGGGTCACACTGTGCCGCGCGCCATGGGGTGCCACGAGCCGAGGGATGCCACGGACCATGCAACGGCCACATGCTGCCATGGGCCATGCCATGGGCCAGGCAATGCCACGGGCCACCCTGGCACGGTGCCAACGGTCTCTGCGCATTCCCCCATCCTCCCACCAGACCCCACCTGGGCCAGCCTGAACCTGGGAGCCTTGATCTGCATCGAGTGCTCGGGGATCCACCGCAACCTGGGCACCCACCTGTCCCGCGTGCGCTCCCTCGACCTGGACGACTGGCCCCGGGAGCTCACGCTGGTCCTGACATCCATCGGCAACGCCACCGCCAACAGCATCTGGGAGAAAAACCCGCAGGGCCGCTGCAAACCCACCCACGAGTCATCCCGGTGGGTGTCCCCGTCCCCCCCCCCCCTCCCCCCCCACCACGTCACTGCCATGCCACCTCCCCGCGACCACGCGGTCCCTGATGCCACCCGTCTCCCCAGGGAGGAGCGGGAGTCGTGGATCCGGGCCAAGTACGAGCAGCGGCTCTTCCTGGCGCCGCTGCCGGCCACCGAGGTGCCGTTGGGGGAGCAGCTCTTCTGTGCGGTGCTGGAGAAGGACCTGGAGACGGTGCTGCTGCTCTTGGCCCACAGCAAGAAGGAACAGCTCAACGTCAGCACCGGCGACAAGGACCGGCGCACGGCGCTGCACGTAGCCTGTGACATGGCTCTCGTGGTCATCACCCAGCTGCTAGTGTGGGTATGTCGGGGGGCGGGGGGCGGAGAGGGGGACTGGGTGGTGGTGGAGGGGCTGTGGCATGGCATGGGGGGGCATCGGGTGGTCATGGGGCACGTGGAATGGTCACGGGGGTCGTGGCATGGCCAGGGGGGAGATAGCATGGTCACGGGGACTATGACGTGGCCATGGGCGACGTGGTACGGTCATGGGGACCATGGCATGGCCAGAGGGCAAACGGCATGGTCGTGGGGACTATGACATGGCTATGGGAGACGTGGCATGGTCTTGGGGACCGTGGCATGGCTATGAGAATCACACCGTGCCAAGAAAGACATGGGATGGCCGCGGGGGAACGTGCCATGACCATGGGGGATGTGGCACATCCATGGCGGACACGGCATGGCTACTGGGGACGCAGCACGGCCACAGGGACCATGTCATGGCCTCGGGGACCGGGGATGGCTGCGTGGGGCGGCTCACACGTCGGCTTTGCCTGCAGTACGGCGCAGACGTTCGGGCACGGGACGGCCAGGGCCGCACGGCGCTTTTCTACGCCCGCCGTGCCGGCAGCCAGGAGTGTGCCGACATCCTGCTGCAGCACGGCTGCCCCGGCGAGGGCCCCGGTAGCCCGGCCACCCCCGGGCTACGCCGCAAGAGCAGCTGCGCCAGCGTGGGTCCCTGCGAGCCCCGGACCGCCCTGGTATAGCCGGTGAGGGGCCCGGTGCCCACTCGGCATCACCCCGGACTGCGGGTGCCCGTGGGCCCCGGCTCGGCCCCGGCGTCGCCTGCCACCGCCGCCCCACGGTTTGTATTTTTGATGCTCT